ACCAGGAAATGGTGGAAGTCCAAAAGTGTTCCCGCCCGGGATCGAACCGGGGACCTTGTGCGTGTGAAGCACACGTGATAACCACTACACTACGGAAACGCCGATGGGAGGGGCGTCGAACAATGAGCACAAGAAGAGAGGAGTCCCGTTTCAGAGTCTCGCTGCGCCGTCGCACAGAGTTGGAGGGGGTACACTGCGAGAGTGGGGGAAGGCAAGTGGTGGGAGGGAGGGGAACGCGAGGCCCGCGGCCCGCGGCCCCAGTGCTCAACAAGTACACTGTGTTCATCCCCGTCTCCCACCATCCGATATGGTCTAGTGGCGAGGATACCTGGCTCTCACCCAGGAGGCTCGGGTTCGATTCCCGGTATCGGAACTTTTTGTTGCCGATTTAGTTTGTTTTGTTCAAAAGTGTACGAGTGGCCTGCACTGACGGCCTTACATGCAATTTCTACAGCTGCTCAGCTTAACGATTAAATTTAAGTACTAGATTTAATGAGTGATACATAGTTAAGCCCCACCGAGTTGCGTGGCCCGGCCCGCGCACAAGCGTGTCGACATGTCAAGGACACCGTGGGGAAATCGTGAGAAAGTTCGACAGATAAATGGAGCGCATAAGTCGGGCCAAAATAGAGGAAACCAACAGCTTAAGTGCGCGCGCTTATGCATGTGTGTGTGTGTGTCCGTGAATGTGGGATTTTCCTGGTGAGCACTGGGAGGCAGTATCATCACCATGCACAAGACGTGGTGAGTGCAAGAGAGTCCAGTGAGTTTTATTAATTTTAAGTGATCGGTAACTGTCTCGCGGCGTCCAGGTCCCCTCCGCGGCCAGGCACCAGAAGTCTGACGTCTGCCATGGTCCCCAGGAGCGGCTCAGCTCCCGCCATAACATCCCCTGACGAATGCATCGATTGCAGAAACGCGAGGAGCAGCGGGGCAACGTGTGCCCTTTGTCTGCCGCTCCCACTATAAGGACACGATGCAAATCAGACGTCGGCCAGGCGCAGCCCCAGGACTGTCAGGATGTGGGGCGCAGTCCTGGCCCAGCCCCCGACAGCGCCGCCGGGAGCCCTCACCTCGCCGGAGCAGAGTGTGATCACGCGGGAAGACCCGGGATAAGATGTGACATGCGTCCCTCCGGACAGCGCGACGACGGCCACCCGACGACGACCCCGGCAGCCGCAGCGAGCCCCGAGGGCCTCGAGGAGGTACTCTGCAACGCAACGGGCGGCACGAGCGGGGGCAGAGGGAATTACCATCGCGAGTGCAGTCATTGTCGCGCAAGTCACGGAGGCTTGCGGTGCCCCCGCCGCGCCCTGCCAGCCGAGTGGTGTCAGCGCCTGGGCACGGGTCAAAGGTCAGGGGTCAGGACAGGTAAACGCGTGCCGCGCGCGAGCAAATCGGTTCTAATTGAGCTGCTGTGTAGAGGTCCCCTCGCTAGAGATGGGCACTTTATGCGAAAAAAAACTTAAAATTATGCGCTGAAATTTGGCTTGATTATGCGATAATTATGCTTTGGAAATATGGCAATTATGCGCCAATAATTCGCTAAACTAAGCACTTTTATGCGAAAAATGTGTGAAAAATGTTTAAAAATCGCGCCCAAATTCCCGCACTGTGCGAAAAAGTGCAAAATTCAACATTTCTTTGGCTAAAACTACGTTTATCCAGTTCTTTAACAAAAATGTCTTTAATAGGGTGGTTGCTTTGACCCAGTGGAGCTAACAGGTGTACGAACCAAAATTTGGTGTACAGGTAAGATGCCTTTTGCTTGCTGGAAAACCCTCCTTTGGACAGCGCAAAGGAAGAAAAATCAGTCATTTCCGTCAAAAGACCCACGTTTTTATTAAAACATACAGTTAAAACACGACAAAAAGTCTAAAATCTTGATAAATTTGCAGTAATTTCGCTGTTTTGTTCGTGGAAAATGCGAATTATGCGCGTATAATGCAAAAAAAACGTTATGCGGGAAAAAATGCCAAATTATGCGAAATTATGCGGGCTGGAAATGCACTGTACAATGGTCCATTAACATCAAAAAGTCGATATCTTTCCATTTTGAACGATTCTAAAACATTATGCGAAATATGTGATCGCATAAAGTGGCCATCTCTACCCCTCGCAGGTCACGTCGCGTATGTCTCGTATAATAGGGCACTCTCGAGGCTGATCTGTGATGGGCTTTTTTTCCTGGCGTTTCTTTGCACGCGCCGCCGGAGTCTCGTGGGGTGGTATATACCGGGTGTCCAGGCTAAGACATGACAGTACGTTGGGTAGC